AAATTAAAACTTACTTGTTTTAAATTTACTTCTAATAGAATCTCTCTCTCTCTCTCTCTCTCTCTCTCTCTCTCTCTCTCTCTTTCATTGTTCATTTCAATCATTCTGAAAATTTTCAGTTTTTTTATTACATTTTTATATGCTTTGCTAATAAAAAATAAAATTTCACGTTGCAAACTCGTTGAAAACGTATTTAACAAATCTCAAGTTATTCTTGATAATCTGCTAATCTCATTTGTTTACATAATCAATATACATATATGGGTACTCATTTTAGATTTTATGCATAACGATTTTTGGAACAAATATTTTGTTCTAGAATAATAATAATAAATTTCACTTATTTCTTTTGAGTAAAAATGGTGACAATACATTTCAAAAGGACATAGATTCCATATATACACGCATGCTCACACATATTCACGTGATGCATACAACACATTTGATTTAAACTCATGACGTACAATTTCTCGAAGATTATCATTATTATTATTCTTTTCTTTCTTTTTATTTAACTTATTAAGGACTATGCAGGAATATTATATAAAAGTTGCACAAACGCAACATTAATGAAAAAAGAAAATAAAATATATCTTTATATATAAAATATAATATATTTTGTCAAAATACAAAATATATATTAAAACAAATAATTTATAAAAAATTACTACAAAAAATAAAAATACAAATGAAATTTTCATGATTTAAAAAAGAATATACATCATCATAGTACTTATAAAAATTATAATTATCCAAACTTATAAAATTTTAGAATTTTTTAAGAAAGCAAAAATAATATTGAAAAAGATTATTACTATATAAAGCAAATTTTAAAAACTTTCTTTTATAACTATAACATTAAAAAACAAAATTAACTATGTATGTAATATTAACTTAAAAAAAAAAAAAAAAAAAAAAAAAAAAAAAACTGTAAATGTTGCGTTAACGCAATGTTAGTTCTTAATGAGTTAATTCTGCATGTTTACATTTTTTTCTTTCTGTCTATTTCATTTTACTCACATTCTCCATATAAAAATAATATGCAATGCCAAAATTATCCAACATTGCTTTGTACATTCACCCGTGCTCTAATGGAGAGAAAAAAAAAAAGAAGAGAGAAAAAGAATCAAATCTAACGAATCTAAATATCTTTGCTACAATATGATCGTGATTAATTTTGTATTTGAAACTAATACTTATTGCTAAAACTTAATCTATAGAGTGTATTTGTCTTCACCATTTTCAAGTTTCCTTTCTTTCTTTTTCTTCCTCTCATTTTCCAATGCTAAAATTTTATAATACACAGAGCACCTTTTTTATAGTTTTTGAAAATGTTTTATAATTATACATATAACACGCACAACATAATATCATACATACACATACACATAACACCATTCTCTATTCATTTAATGCGTTTCTTCAAACACATTAATGTATTTCTTTCTACAAGTCTTGTGACATAATTAATACTTTTGTTCATATTTTCATATACACTATCAAATGAAGCATCAAAAATACATGGTTCGCGATCACTACTTAACACTCAACATTCTTTCGATTTCGCTAACTTATACAATAATTTACAAAACATAAATAATTATTAATAATAATTCTGCATGAGTAAAATATAATAGCAAAAGAATTAATAATGATAGCATGTTATAATAATATAAATTGTAAGAATGAAATAATAATAAGTAAAAGTAGTTACAATATTAAAACAAATACTAATTTATCTTGGAATTTTCTTTCTTGTTAAAAAAAAGAAACTGTCATTTCTTATTAAACGTTCTCTTGAAATAAATCATTAAATATTCTTTATAAAAATTTTGCATATTTAATTTGGATACATACATATTTGTAAAATATTCTAAATTGAAAAGAATTTATTCTTTTCAGTTATACTGATCTAAATTTTTATTTCAATGGAACAAACACTGACGTGCATTTTTTTATCTCATATATTCATTACTCATTGTATACATTATTTTTTTTTTCGAGAATATATCGCATAATATATTAAATCATTTTTATCCTTCTATAATTGCACAATATTCTAAAATGACTATAATCTATATTTTTTTTTATGTGAAATATTTATGAATTATATTCTCGAATCAAATCCATTTCGAACATTGGTTCCCAGACTCTTAACACTAATAAATGACAAAATGAAAAAAGAAAAAATAAAAAAATAATATCAAACATTATATACAAAATTAAGAGAGGAAAGACAAAAAAAAAATTATAGCATCTATCATAAGTAAGTCATGGATAGTCTTACTTTTTTGCAGGACTTGTAAAATTGCAATTTTACATCTTCCTTTTTAAAGATATATTTACTTTCAATTTTTTTTCTGAATTTTCTAAAAAAAAATTTTTTTTTTACAAAATTTTCTTTAATTGCTTATTAGAAAATTATCGCAAATATATTCGTCAAGTATTTGTATCTGTGATCATCGAACGATACAAATTTTTTAATTATATTTTATATTTCTGAATTTATATATGAATATACTTATTTTTAATTATGCAAATTATTAAATTCACTGAAAATATTATTCAGTTTGTACTTTTTAAAAATAAAAATTATAAGATATTTTTGGGGAACTTTTTGTAAATAAGCTTATCGAAAACATCTTTTATAAAGAGGTTTTCCATTTAATAACAAAAATTTTACCATTGCTATGTTTCTATCATAACTACAAAATTGTGATTCACAGTAACTTCTAATGTTCTGTGACTAGTTCACTGTAAAATGTAGCTTATTTAAAAAATCTTTAACAAATCTTAGTAAAAGGTAAACATGAATTCTACTTATATTAGGAGTCTCTTTTTTCATCTCTTTACATATGTAAAGACTATGTATGTATACGTGAAACATGGTAAAAATTGCACTTTCCTCCAACTATTTATCATTTGCTTCATCAAACAAGCAAGTTTGATAAAAGTAGTAAGAATTAAAATCGTCATTTTTCAGATGCAATTTACCCTAAATCATGTATATCATTGCATGAATAATTTACTGTTGTCCATTTTATATCAGTCATGTTACGTATTAGCATCTGTATTAATATTCTTTTTTTTTCTAACACCAATTTATCACTTTTATCTATGTTAATCATTTTTCATTTAATAACAAACTTACATTTTTTTTTAATTTTCTAAAATATTCTCATTATGAAACTTACTTATGTTTCTCCTTTCATCTTCTTTTTCCATTATTTTTTTGTTGATTATTTTCTTTCTCTATCTTATCATTTTTTGTTTCTATTTTTCTATGTCCTTTTACATCTTCTTTAATATTTTTCTCATTAGTCTCCTCTTCATGGCTTCTTTTTTCATACCTAGTTTTTCTACTTTCAGCTTATCATCATTATCTTTAACTTGATTTTCGTTCCCCTCATTTTCTTCCTCCTGCTCCTCCTCTTCCTCTTCTTCCTCTTCCTCTTCAACTTCATCATCCTCTTCTTCATCTATAGATGAAGAATCACTGTCGCTATCCGAACTTTCAGAATTTATAGAAAGCGAACAATGATCGTACTCTTCAGGATCTGAATATACTTCTGCTCCAGGAAATACATATTTTCCAGGTGCCAACTGATAATAAGAATTTTCTGTAAAAAAATAACATCTTATTTCTACATTTATCATTATTTTTATTAAACATAAAAAAAAAAAAAGAATAAAAGAAAATAAAATAATAATTTTTATAAACCTGGTAATCTTTCAGCAAGACTTTTTCGTATTTTAGGATGCCAACAATGCTGATTTAATGTTCCATTTTTTAATTCTTCTTTGCTATTTTTGTCTTCGTGACTGTCAACACTGTTACAACTGTCACCTACACCAGAATCTAGTGCAGAATCGATAGAAGCTTGTCTTGGTTTAAAATTTGTTTTTTCAACTTCAGTAGAATTCATTGTTGAATAATCATTATTCATTTTTAAAGATGTTCTATTTTCTACACAATGATGCGGTTTTAAAGTAGAATCTAATAATGTACTTTCCGAAGAGATCTCTATTATTCTTGGAAATACTTGACACTCTTCTAAACTATAAATTTTCCCAATATCTTTCGATGTAGATTCTACAGAAACTGTATGAAATTTATAATCGATTGAACTCTCTGAAATAGTCTCTGTCTTTGAAGGACATGTATTAAAATGTAATACACAATTGCTACCAAAATTCATTCTTTTTGGGCTACTTTCTACGCTTGATTCCCCTAATCTTCTTTTTGGACTCTCTCCTAAAAGATTGAATTTTTCTTCTATGCTATTGGTATGATTGTTGCAGAAAGGTGAAATACGCGCATTCATATTCTCTTCATAGTGTTCTACAATATTATTGTGAATCATAAGATTGTCTTGACTTTCAATAGATTGAGGATCATGTGCTTTAAAATTAATTTCCACACTGTCTCGTGATAATACGGTATTTGATGATGTATCTTGACTTTGTTCCCAAGTATCATCTGTTACATAACGCAATGTTAACAATTGCGTTGCTTCCTTAAGTATTGTATCATTCCAACATACTTCTTTGTAACTATTTTCCATTCTTTAAGAACATAAACATATATATATATAAGTACATGATATATTATATTATATTAGTTAACTATACACAGTAATTATAAATGATACTTACAAATGACATAATTGATTTATAATAATGTCACCATCTCCCAAGAGTTCAACATCAAATTTTAAATGTGGCAATGATTCACGATTAATAAGGATTTGTGGAACATGAGATGGAATAGAAGAAGGTATTAATGCTACTGGCCGGACCTTCAATGATGATCCAATTACAATTAAAAGATCACATTCATCTTTATCTTTAGCCATAGCATCGTGAAAAGCATCCGGAAGTCCTTCGCCAAAGAAAACAATGTCTGGTTTCATTATACCCTGTGTCACTAAATCTGTAAATGATGAAAATTTCTAATGAAAATTGTTCTATTAAGCATATTTTCCGTTAGCCGTAGCAGATTGCGCTGTCTGTTTTACTCAATTGTAAACACATCGTATTTGTTTAGTTTCAAAAATTTTTGAACGGCGTATTACAAATTGTACCCCGCAAATCTGGCTAAACAGCACGCACGGGTAACTTGATGCAACTTTTAAAATTTTACCTTATATGCTTATAAACAAGCCAAGGTTTTACTCGTAGTTACAATTGATGTATCAACTTATGCGTAGATCAGAGTAAATGGCAACATCATTTAGCGAAGATGTATTCCGTAAAGAGTAGATAATGTTCTCTCATGGCCACTGACTCGCGACGCGCTATAGGAAAGACTAATAGCAAAAACTATCACTAGGTAGCTAATTTTCCACACCATAGAGAAATTGGCAATCAATACAAAATGACCATACAACATCAATGAACGTTACGAAAGTATCTGTATTTATATAATTACCTTTATAACTTTCGTTAAGATTAATCTCCGAAATGGGAGGCAAAATATTAATTCGACATTTTGGACACAATGGTATTCTCTGGGAAAATATATCTTCTCTAATGTCATCAGCTTTCACTTGATATTTACATCTTGTACACGATGCAGTAGCAAAAGAGCCTTAAATAAAATGTATATAAAGATTTACTTAATTTTGAAAAACTTAATTTTTATATTTATTCATGTATATTATATATGTCACTCACCATGACATTCAATAACATTTTCAATGCCTGCGACTTGTTCTAATGTATCGATATTTTGTGAATAATTTCTTAAAAGTTTTTTCTGTTTATCAAGCATTTTTATAAACCTATGACAAGGACTTGGTTTAAATTGTCCAGGATAAATTTCTCGTGCAAATTTGTAAAATGGTCTTGGATCTTGACTAAAATAATTAATGTCAAACATAGCCTGAAATATATGAAAAAGAGAAATTAAAATTAATATACAAAAAGCGAGATATATAGAGATGGATCGAAATTTGATTTTTGGATTCGAATTTGAAACTTCATAACATTTCAAAACCCGAAATTTTTTTTATTATATTTTGAAGAATATATATTTTTATATACTAAAATCTTTTTTCTAGGATTCTTCAAACTCAGTGTCATATAATAAATCATCATATAATCAAATAATTGGCCAATAATAATAATAATAATAATTTTTTTTGTTGTAAAAAATTTAATTTTTATTTTTTCTTTATATAATTTATTAACAATTGGTGAAATTATATCAATTAAAATAAATTTAAAACTTGAATGCAAATTCAATTATTACTAAAACAAAATTTTATTATATAATAAATTTTATTTTATAATAAAATAAAAATAAATTTATACAAATTATTTTTTACTTAAATTTTAGAAATTGCAAACTTACGAAAATTTGAAATTTTTTAAATTTTAACCTTTTGCACTCGAAGCTTTTTTTTTTGCTCGGCGGAACCAATAACTCGAGACAATTTTCCACACGTCCAGTGAATTTCCTAAAATGAGCTAATTTAAAATAATTTCGCATACAAATTAACGTATAAAAGTTTTATATTTTAATATTTTATGTATCTTTACTTAAGAAGAAAATTTGTTAAATATTAAACTATATTATTGCTTTATATAATATTTTATAAAACAATGATTAAGATCATCTTCGATTTGTCAGGACAAGTATCACAATAAAATGTTGTTTGATGTTTTTCAATTTATTTCATTGAGAGCAAAAGATTTGCAATCCTTCTTAACTTTTGTTAGAATACCGTGCAATTTTCCATTCAAACGGATTTCATCGAAATTGGAGGAAAAAATTTAAGCTCAATTAGGAATCTAGCGAAAATCTTCTCTCAATTTAATAATTAAAATTTTTATATATTACAAATGATTAAGCTGTTCATTTCGTTTCTCTCTTTTTTTATTGATTTATATATATTTATTTCATGTATTTATAGAATATATGAATTGATTAAACATCTCTAAATTCGAAAAAAACAATTTATGCCACCATTTCGACTTTTTTAAAAACAATATATTAAAGCATATTGATCTGCTCGATCAACGCCTCCCATATATTTTACAATAATATTAATTTTCAATAATATTACGTTTTTTTATAATAACTTCAATACCACTTCGTAAAATCCTTTTTATGAGAATTTCCATTATCCCAAGAGACAATCTTTTTATCTTTCTATAATGCCAGGATTGAAGTATAATCTTTGCAATATGCTACTGTGCATTTTTTGTTAAAATTTGTTTTTTATTAAAAGGTTTAATAACTTTATTAAAATTTAATAAAAGTTTTTTTATTAAATTTGGCAAGTTCTTCTTATTTATTAGAATTGTTAAATATCATTTTAGTTTGCATAATTTTCGAATCAAGGTATAATTTATATAATATCGATCCGTGAACATATGGTGTCTTTGAACACTAATTTTATCCAATAATATTCTGTAAAGAAATTCTATGTAATTGAATGTAGAATTAATTAATATTGGAAGATCAAGTTTTATAAATTTTTCTGTTGTGAAAACTCCATAATAGAGTAAAATATCACAAACATAGCTATTGTTTCTATCATATAAATTCTAATATTTTATTTGATTGGTTTCTTTCTATTATAGATAATAAATGATATTCAACCTTTAAATTTGATAATAGATTCATCCACACAAATCTGTTTTTTCGATATAAAATAATTTAAGAATTTTAAATTTATGTTGAGGAAACAACTAATTGCAAATATGTTCTTGAATTTGTATATTGTATCGAAATTGTTTTCAAAGGAAGCATTCAAAAAATTTGGCTGAATTTATCTCTGAATATAATGTGTTTGAATAAAAAGGAATGTAGCTAATTGATTATTTCTTAATTAATATTCTAGTAAATTTGTCAACATCATAATCCCGATATTATTTTATTCCAAATCCCCAGACTTCTTTAATAGTCATATCATACCAAGTTCATCATATAATAGTACTGAATATAATAGTACTTTCCTTCTAATTTTTTTGTAGCATAATTATTTGTTCTGCACATTATTTCATTAATGAATTTAGTAAAAAAACAGCTTAAAAAAATTCAATGGTTTTTTTTATGTCTAAGATACTTGCAATTCTCAAATTTGCTTGATATTGTAACTATATTCTTCGTGATATATTTTCCGATTTTGTTCACATTATCCATTCTGAACTTTCTGTATCTTTTGCGGTATCCCTATCGTTTTCATATCTATTAATCTTATTTTTCACTTTCTTACACTTCTTACTTCATTTCTATCTTGATTACTACTTTCCTTCTCTCTCTCGTCAATTGCTTTATGTATAGAACTAATTTCGTTGTTCAACGAAAATTAAATTCATTTTCACTTGAACTGATTTCATTATCACATTCCATGCTTACAACTCAAATACTTTGAAAATAATATTCCTATTGCTATTGTCAAGCTCAAACTAATGCCGAAGACTCAATCCGATCCGTGATCACAATTTAATTTCAAATAAGAAAATCTAGTTATTTGAAAGTGCATTATTCTACACTTCATAAAATTATATATAAAAAGCTTAAAAAATTATTCAGTATTGAAGTGATATTTTAAAAAAATCAAACATAAATATTGTCTCCGTTCGAGTTACTGTATCAATCCAATAATGCCTGAAATCACCTCTCACATTAAACCAAATAATACCTGAGAATCACTTCTCAAGTGCAAAAGGTTAAAGGATTTCAAATATTCCATCTCTGATAAACTAATAAATAAAAAAAAATATTTAAAGTTGCATCACCTGTGGATCTGGCAAATCTGGAAAATCTTGTGCTAATCTAGAATAAATACCATCCCTACTTCTGAAGTCAGGAATTCCACAACTAACACTTACACCTGCCCCAGTTAAAACTATTATTCTGTTACTATTACGTATCAATCTGACAACATCTGTCAAAGTATTTATATGTCTTAATTTTTGTCGGCGTGGTGGTTCTGACATCATATTTATTATAATCTGAAATATAATTAAACAAAATATTTAATAACAAACATTCAAAAATTAAAACTTAAATTTTTGCAATATTTTAATTATTTTATTAAACTGAAAAAAATTTCCTCTTGTATACCTTCCAAAGAGTCAAATCATCAACCTGTTCTGGAATCTGAGTAGAATCCATGAGAAGATGATGTAAAAGATTTCGAGGATCAGCACCTATCAACATTTGCTTCTGAACCCATGAAGATGCATTTCTCCATTGATGATTGATATCTCCTTCACCAGAAAAGTCAGAAAGTCCTGATAAATCAGACAAATTTGAAACTGTTGATGATACTTCATCTTTCTCATCTGCAGTATCAATTCTGAAATGTAAGAAATAAATTAATTTTCTTATATTGCAATGATTTATATGAATATAATGATTGGGGATTATTAATAACAATAAAATATATAAATTATGAATATTATACTATAAATAACAAATAAAACTTACAGACAACCAGTGTCATCACTAGTTGAGTCAATTCGTGATGGAGTTGTCATTAAGTTTGTAGCATCCGGTGAAATAGAAGTTGATTTGGATTCATCACTTAATTCATTGAATCCACTATCTCCACCATATGTCTCTATAATAATATTAACTATATACTTCTTTATTATAAAAACAATTGAAGACTAAAGAACTATTTAAGATAAAAACTCGTACTTTTTTCTTTTTTTCCTATTTCCATTGATTTTTCTTTTTTCTGTATTAATTTTACCATGTAAAAGCAATCTTTTAGATATCTTTTAGGTTTACCAGATATTATAATATAGAAAGTAATATTCATATGAATAAAAACACATTTAAGATAAATTTCATCACAATAAATCATTTTGAAAATGTTCAAAATTGGCGGGGTGCCATTAAATCAGATACAACAGCACGTATCGTTCGTGTATAATGAAAATCATGCCATCTGTGAACGTCCATCGAATGTACTGTACACCTTTGCACTGAGATTAGTTTTTCTATTTTCACTGTGAATTTTCGCACAAATGGTCACTTCTATAAAGAATGTGTTTTAGGAAGCAGTTCAAAAATTACAGTTAATTAACAAGTAATTTTATTGGAGCAAAATAAAAATTTGGTAACATCGCAATTACATACTCGATAAAATTAAAAATGAACTACGAAGCTACTTAGATATGCGACATACACAGAAACTGTCATGGCGGCTCTTGTCTTCAATCAACTACGAACGAACGATAACCAACGCAAGGAAAGCGGACGCCTTCTTAACCGCCATCTTGCAATCTTGTAAATTTCATTAATGAATTGACCATATTTTTGTCAAAATACCTTCGGGATCTTCATTGGGGATATCATGCGATGTCTCACAATCTTGGAAATCAGGTTTCTGGCTACTGGTACCACTATAACCGATGCCGTCAACTTTTCGTCGTTTTGCTGGGGATGAATATTCTGGCAGCTCCGAGCCTGACGCCATTTTCAACAGCAATGCAATGCATAGTTAGATGCACGACCGTTGCCACAACAGAGGTCGCCTGTGTTCTTAATATCTTTCCCCTCCACTTTTTAGGTTTATATTGGCGATATAAAAGTATCAGAAAGAAGAAAAAGAGATCAATATACATTTCACGTAATTTTGATTAAACTTAGTTGCTTGAATATCTTATTAAATAAATTTCCAATTATCATTTCGAAAATTTATTTATGTTTTTATATCATACTGGAAAAATATACATCACAATAAAATTTTATTCGATATCGTAATTATATCTTGATTTATTTATTATTAGAGCACATTTTTATATTGTTATCTAAATATGGATTTATTTTTATATTATTAATATTTTTTATTGCATATTATATTTTAATATTTTATAGATTTTATGTTTTCAATCAATTTTTAAATTATTATTAGAACATTGATATTTTAGCTTGAAGTAATTTAAATAGTTTTTGTTTTCATAATCGTATAATTATATATTTTGAATTATAAAACAATTTTTATATTTTAATACTAATTTATTTTAATACGCTTAATGTGAATATATTATAGAATAATTTTTATAACATAATATGTATGATAGAATAATATACAATAAGATTATTATAAACTAATTTGTTAATGATGCTAATGATGTTAAAATTTTAATACAACAGATGTATAAATTTTAATATAAATTTTAATATAAATTATATATTTATTATATAAATTTACATACTATTTATATGTGAAAATTTAAAAAATTTTTTTTATAACAATAATTTTAAATTAAAAAATTATTTTATTATATATATTATATATAATACATTTATTATTTATATTTATTTATTCATTAAGAAGAAAAGTATTTTATTATTATTATTTTTATTGTATTTATATTTTTTTATATTGCATTTAAATTAATAATTTTATATAGATTGATTAGATTTATAATTTAGATTTATATATATAATTTTAAATATGCAAAAATTATATAATTATACTCAAATTTAAGATATTTTATAAAATCTCTAATTTTTATAGAGATATATTTTAGTTTTTATTATAATTATTTATATATATTAACGCGGTGAATATTTGAGTTAGAGAATATGATTCTCGACAAATTCAGAGTAAATGATTTAAACTAATTTTAGAAAACGTGTGAACGCGATCTCTGTCTGTTCACGAGTATAACGTGATAATAGTATAAATCAAAATTTTATCCAGTCTAACATCGAAAATGATAGATTTACGTGATGAGAATGCTAAAAATACAATAAATGGTGGAAAATATAGCAATTTAAATATACCAGGTATATTAAAAAAATTAAAATAATAATATATAAAATTTGCACGAATTTAGAAGGCATCAGTATAATTATATTATATGTATTATGATATAATTTATTTATCATATATAATACTCCACAGTAGAAAAGATTGAGATTTATAACTTGTAATGTATTTATATTGATTGATATAATATACTAAATATGTATAATTAATTAAATATGATTATGTATAACCTCAATACATTTATAGTATTATTTCGTTATTATATTTTTAATGTAAAAAAAATTCTTGTGTAATTTATGTAACTGTGTAATGCATCTCATAAATGAAAACATTGTGATATATATATCACTTTTTATATCAATAGATAAACAATTAAGTAAAAAAAGAAAATATGATAATATATTGAAATTTTATTTTAAAAAATAAGTATAAAAGTATGGTAATTAGAACTAATATTTATTTAATATTTATTTATTTAATAATATTATTTATTAATTAATATAATATTATTATTTAATAATACAATTTTTATTCATAGTGACTTTTATATATATATTTATTTTTATATATATTTTATAAAAAATATTATTATATAAAGAAAAATATTTATATTTTTGTTTAAGGATCCCAATGATGTGATATATATAAATTGTATGTATTGAATTAATATATAATATAGACAACAAAATATATAACATATGTAATAAAATTCTTATAATATTGGAATTTTAAAATATATTATAATTTATTTATCATTTTGAAAAAATTATATAGAAGTGCAAAATTAATTTATAAGTATATTTGTATGTATTGTACATACATGTATATATATATATATATATATATCAATATATCAATATATATGTATATTATATATATATATTATATATCAATAAACATTTAATAATTAATATCAAAATTAAACATTTTTTTCTTATATTTTATATTGTTTCCTAGTAACATCACAACAAGGATTAGCGCCACTTAGTCCCTATTTAAATTTTGATCCTGCATATCTTCCTCCAAGCCAACCAGAATATATATTTCCGGAAGGAGCAGCAAAACAAAGAGGAAGATTTGAATTGGCTTTTAGTCAGATTGGTGCAGCATGTATTATAGGAGCTGGTATTGGGGGTGCTACTGGTTTGTATAGAGGCATTAAAGCAACATCTTTAGCCGACCAAACTGGTAAACTTAGAAGAACACAGTATGTATTCAAAAATTTTTAGTTGTGTTAAAATGAATAAATTTTATATTCTACAATAACATATTATTAAACTATAAATAAATTTTTTTTATAGGTTAATCAATCATGTTATGAAAAGTGGATCTTCGTTGGCAAATACATTTGGAATAGTGTCTGTGATGTATAGTGGATTTGGTGTGCTTTTATCTTGGGTCAGAGGTACAGATGATTCCTTAAATACATTAGCAGCAGCAACTGGAACTGGGATGTTGTTCAAATCTACAAGTATGTTTCATTTAAATAATGTATATTATAGTCTAAATTGAAAATTATTTTTATCATTATTATTTTAAATCATTATGTAAATAATGATTAATTATTTTTAGCTGGCTTAAAAAAATGTGCATTGGGTGGTTGTATAGGACTAGGAATAGCATCTGTATATTGCTTATGGACTAATCGAGAAGCCTTATTGGAATTGAGGCATCGCAATATAAATCCAGCGTAAGACTGTGTGTAACAGCAAAAACTCTGAATATTCCTAAATATTTTTCTTATAGTGATTTAAATTTCTTAGTAGTACTAACAAAGGAATGATAGAAGGGTTTGCATTCTGTAATTGATATAAATTATATATGAATGATTATTTTTACAAAGGTTACCAAAGGTGATTAATTTTACCATTCCTGTTTCCAAACATGTAAATGTATTTAACTATATATTTAAGTCAATTGTTTATCATTTTGACATGTTTATTACAAAAGATTTATCTATTCTTATATTTTTTCATTCTCATTGTTAAAATACTATATAGCTTTGTTGAGTTTATAATAATTATTTTTTTTCTTTATTATAATATATATTCTTTATATATCATTATTATTAATATATAGCATAATGTTATATATAAAATTGATTTTTATTATTCTTCAAATACGTATTATATTATTCTTAGATGAAATTAATATTCAATATATGCATATATAGATATTTGATTCTATAAAAACGAAAATATATTACGTTTTGATATATATTTATAATCTCGATAGATATTTATATAATTTCTATTGTTAGATTAAGAAAATTGCATTTGTAGTAACAATTTGTACTACATTTTAGCTATATTCTATTTTCCAGAAACTTATATGACTTTTATTAATTTATTATAAAATAAAGAAAAAAGAAAATTTGAAAGAGAAGAGGAAAAGAAAATCCAGAGAAAAAAATAAAAAGAGCGAAATAAACTGATTAAATAAAACAAATTTTATTATTGTTTTTCCCATAAATCAAAAATCAAATAAAGATTTATTAAAAATATTCTGATTACATGCATTGCATGCATAATACAATATAAATTACGAATATGATGTTATTCTCACAGATATATTACTTCTTTTTTACAGATCTAAATAATATATAGGAGGAACGAGATTTCAAGCTACTAGAAATTCACACAACGAAAGCAAATTGTTTTGTATATATAGAATATCATATTTGAAGATTCTATAGAATATAAACGTTTTAGTAAAAATAAATCAAATCAATATGCAATTCAAATAAAGGAAAATCTGTAGCACTATTATATATATGTGCACGTTTGCGCATGTGTTTTATATATTTTATAATAGTATATTTATTATAATAGTAATTATTTTATTTTAATTTCTATTTTAGTTTCTCTTTTAAATATATATATTTATTATATATTATATATTATATATTATATATTATATATTATATATTATATATTATATATTATATATTATATATTATATATTATATCAATATGAATAAGATGTACAATTTGTGATATCTGGATTACTATCGAATGTCGGTATGATAATCTTATCAAAGTTTATCTCAAACATTTTCGCGTTTCATCGGTCATACAGTTTAATCTGATTTATATATATATATACTACAAAAAAGAGAAAATGTGAACAGGAATATTATTACTTATAATTGATGTCATTAAAAGTATGTATATAATATACATATGTAATAATATAAATCGGTAAAAAATATGAAAATAGAAAAACAAAGATAATAATTTTTCATTGATATTATCGTATTGTCGTATATTATCATATTATAATCATCAATTTAATACTAGTTAAAAATATTTTAACACTTTTTTTTTTATTATGAAAAGTAATAATAAGATGTAAATATTTAAATATTTTACTTAATGCAATCCTTGACGTTTATATATATAGATATTGCATCGATAAATATTAGTGAAAAATTCTCGGCTTATTTGAACAAGGAACAGGCGGTATTCATAAATACACAAATATTTCAATGTGTTAAAGTTCTACCAGTCGACAAGAAGAAAATATTTTAGCAGAGAAATATATTTTGGAATTACAATCTTATAGAGAGAAAAAAAAGAAGGAAAGAAACTTCCTTTATAAAGTGCAATATTTAAAGATTCATCATCAAATAAATTTATATATCAAACTGAGGTAAGATATTATTAAACATTTTTTCAATTATGCCACAAAAATAGCGCATTGTGAAAAAATAGATATGTAGTTTTAGTAGCTACGATTGAAACACATATTATAATCATTATAATAAGTTTTAATACGATTCCGATATAAAAATAAAAAATAATGAAAATCATTTAGAATAATATCTTAATTAAGTAATATCATAATTAATAAATTTTTCGATTTTTAAATTTTCAATTTATTATATGTTACAAAACTATAATTTAGTTTTTGTATCAAGAAATTAATTTTCTAAATGAAAAAAAAAAATCAAACTGAGTTTAATTTATTCAATAATTCTTGTAACTACATATCAGAATCTTCTACAACAAATTTCATTAATACTTATAAATATATCGAAAGCATATACATAAATATATTTTCTTGAATTCATTATTGATGAATTTAATGTTCTTTTCTCTTCTAATATTTTATATTTTAAATTTTATTATGTGATTAAATCATCCATGATGCATATTTAAAATATAAAATTTTAAATTCGCTTTTATGTGTATACGTGTGTTAAATGTTATTTTTTCAATATTTTTAATATATAATGAGTCTTTTTTCAAACAGTTTACCTACTCATTTTCATTTTCTCATTTTTCTATTCTTCCTTATCGTATTAATATCTATTTTCTTTCTTATTTTTACACTTCTTTTTAATCGCTATTTTATTCTAGCACTTTTTAAACATATTTCATTCGATCATTTTACATGATAGAATTAAATTCAAAAACATTCAAAGCAAAATTATGCTTTAGAAAAAAAATATTCTATAAAAATCTTCAATAGTAATTTGATTATGTTTTATTACTTAATTTAAATGAATCAAGTGAAAATTATGAGTATATAATGAGAATATAATGATTAATATATGTTAATAGGAGGAAATAATTATAGTAATAAAAAAATTAAATAGACGAAGATGATAAAAATGAAATAGCATATTTTAGGAAAATATAATCGATATTTAGAAATCAAATAAAGAGATGAATATCAAGTTATTAAATGCATTATTTAGATCAGATTTATAAATTTTCATTTGTTCTTTATCAAAGAAATAAAATGAAAGAAGAACAAGCGGAACAAATACTTAGCGTATTATATATTTCCTGTGCAATTTTATCGGTGACGTCTTTGATCTGTTTGGTTACCATTTGGCAATATTGGACATATACCTTGGATGTTTGCGATAGCATCGACTGCGGCTGCATATTATATAGTATCAATACCTTCACTAATTTTATGGGAGGTGATGAGAAATTTTGTTATTTTGGCGTATATGGTTTGATTCCTACAATTGTAATCGGTTTATGTCTCGGTGGATATCATGGATATAGAAGTTGTATTAATAGAAATTTAGATGCGCCTGTACAAATCTATAATGATGTTAACAGGTACGGAAATTGATATCATATAAAATTCAATTTTTATTTTATGTACTATATATATATATATATATATTTGTATTTGCATAAAATCCGAGTAATGTCAATTCATTTATATATGAATATAGTTTAAATTGTTAGAAATTAGATCATTGTATATATTCTTCGCAGAAATTTAAATAGCAGCAAAGCAACAACAACAGTGGTAATAAGATCTAAAAATCGAACTCCGTATAAACAATGGATACCTGCTGTGTTCCTTACAATATTACTTTGCTGTTTGTCATTAGCTCATGCAATAGTGATGACTGATGGTTATTACAAAAGTTGTGACCAATATAGAAAAAGACTAATACATCTTTTAAATTCCGGACGTGAAGCCGAGGTAGAACTTATGATATACATTATCCAGGAAAATCCAATTCTTTTCTTATTTTCATCTCTCATTCATTTGCACAATGATCACATTCTTCCCTCTTCTTTCTACAGGTTATTCGTAACAGACTTTCTTGCGGGGCGATCTTTGATTTTATGGATTATTTACAAACGGATATAGCAAATAATGATAAATGGATAATGAATAAAGAGATTGATACTGGTTTTGCTTTTCGATTAGCTATTATTTCAACATGGTTCAATTTCTTTGCTTGGACATTTGCGTTCTTGCTGAACATCATTATGGCGCGCAAAAGATTTCGTTGTTGTTAATAAGTTATCGATCAAAAGTTATCGATTAGAAAACATTTCTAAACGCAATAAACTGTCAAATATTAATAGTTCAAACCCTATAGTTGACCTAACCCTATAAATATAATTATTAATCATCGATTCATTATTTCTTTTTCATTATTACTTCAAATAAAAATAAAATAATTTTATAACATTATAACATTTATAAAACAAATGATTATATTCTTTTTCAATTTTACTATTAATTATACTGCATTATAATTATACTAAATGCATCTTTATATCATTATAAACATCACATTTTTCAATTTTATGTTAGATATGATGTTCAGATATGTATGTGTGTGTTTATTATTTATATTGTTTATATATTTAAATTGAAGCTTTTTTTTAATGTTTACGATTATAAAAGTTATATGTGTAAGTAATACTTGCGTGTAATACAAGATATAAGTATGATATAAGTAATACAAGAAAAAAAAGAGCCAAAGGAAGAAAAGGAAGAGAACATTATTTATTGAAATAACACTGACAATTATAACATTATAATATTTAATGTGAAGAATAATAATATTTAAATAAAATTTAAAAATATATTTACTTTATACACAAATTTCTTTTATATATATATATATAATTATTATAGTATGCGCATATATATTGTCCGAGATTAATTAGTTAATAAAATATTACATATATTCTCCAATATACAAATAAATTCTATTGATTTTTTTTCTCTTAAATAAGAATATTTTTATATATAACAAATATATTTTCGAAAAATGCTTTACAATTATTTTTAAATTTTATATTACAAAAATAATATTAAATTATTTTTCCATTAATATTATTATTAATAATAGAAAAAAATTTTAATTTTTGCAGTTTAAAATTTTTCATTATTTCATTATTTTAAAATTTATGTTTCTTCTTTTTTTCTTTTTTCTTTTCATATTCTCTTCTTTTTTATATATTTTTTTAATGTTATCAGAACGAATTATATTTTTTTCAAAATATGAATATTTGAAAAAAATGAATTTTTTCAAAACATGATAATATTAATAATAAAATGTGATAGAAGAAAATGTTCAAATGTTTTTTTTTATATTAGAACGATGTAATTATCGTCGATATATTTAAAAAAGTAGTTGTTATTTACAATTAAAATTATCTTGATTTTCCTTCTCTCTCTTTTTTTTTATTAATATATGAAATATTTGAAATAATTGTAATATATCAAAAATTTTTGTCAATAAAAATTAGAAATATATATCGTTAGAATCAAATTCAAATTGATATAGTAATAAATAATAAGCTTAAGCTTTTTATATTCATCTTAATGCTTTAAGTCAAGCAGAATATGTATAACAATATATTTAAATATATAAAAAATGCAAAATATTACGTATAGAATAATAAAATATATACTAAATCATTTAAATCTATCGAAATATATTTTATCGTAATATGTTAATTATGCATTTTATAAATATCATTTTTGTAAATAAACATATTTATTTTCATGCATACTTTTATTATCGTACATTTATCGTTACTAAATATTACAATATACATTATATGTATATATAGATCACATTAAAATGAATAAATAAATGTCTAATATTGTGATAGATTATTACATCACTTAAGATGCAGAGAGAGAGAGAGAGAGAGAGAGAGAGAGAGAGAGAGAGAGAGAGAGAAGAAGAAAACAAAAA